TTCCCAGCAAATTAACTGAAGAGGGAACTGCAAAGGAACTTTGTGAGCAGTTCCATTTGGAAACTCAGGCCCTTGCTGGCATCTCTGAGGACTTGTTCTTAAACAGACATTGGGTTTCAAAAAATGTAATAGCAAGCTTTAGATACTCCATTTCCCTTCATTATTATTTCTTTTTAAATTACAAAGAGGTCCCAAAGGCTCGCTTTTCTGCCTTCCCCTATTCTTCTCTTATTAGGATCTGTTCTAGCCACATTTTCTTATCTTCCTCTCTGCCTTACGTCCTGAAAGTTTCACTACCTTTCTTCCCACCCAATCCCCGGGCCTGGAATGCTCAGGTCTGGGCTCCTGTGGGCCTGGAGCAGCTACCCGACATGAGTTCAATGCCATTCTCCACCTTTACCAGATCTCAGCTTTGCAGGAGAGAGCAGTAGCAGACCTGGGCTATTAACACACCACAGTTAATTCTCCGCGGGAACTTTTACTAGGTGGGACCGTGTGGAAGGAGAAAACATCTGTAAACAGTGAGCGCTCTTGAGGGTGGGGAATGAGTTCTGACATAGAGGTCAGAACACATATAAAATGTGGCAGAATTTGTGAAAGAGTTCAGACTTAAATTGTGGCAAAATAAGGAGAAGAGAAAGAGAAGGGGGAAACTGGAGACAGTCTAGAATGCTCCCCAAATGCAGCTTCTTTTCTGGCCACCACAGAGCAGATGGGAGTCGAACGTGCTCCCCTTTGAGAAAGATTAGAGTGAAAAGGGACACTTCTGTCACTTTCTGGAGGCGGGACACAGAGAGGTGAAAATATACAAGACAATGGCCTCTAGCGCTGGAGGGCTCCCCTGGCGGGCTCCCCACCCTTTGCCCCGTCTCTCTCGAAACCCTCCTTACCTTTGTTGCTTGGATTTGATCTGACACACTGGAAGTTCCTGGACTAGGTTCTTTGAGAGGAAAAAGACCACGAGAATCAACCGGTCGCCTGCATCTACTCCGAAGCCAAGAAGCATTACAATAAAATTTACAGCGCCTTTAACAACTCGCAAGTAAAGCATTAAAATTCCCTTTAATTGAGAAAACATTGATTTTTAAGTCTAGGAAAGGCGAAATCGTAATTTAGCTGCAAACTTTCAGTCGAGAATATAGAGTATTATGTCGCCGTATTATGGATCCACCCTTTATACCCACGCAACATCCCATCTTTAATTGCGCTACTTTATGAAGTGATAAAGACAAAAGATAACCCGACTTAGGCAAATGCTTAAAAAAAAAAAAAAAGAG